GCAACACCCTTTTTGCGCGCGATGGCTCAAACTCAGGCGTCCTTACGCCGTTCCCTTTGCCCATCTTGGGCTTCCTTCCCCCCTCAGGAATCCGGACGCGAAACGCATCACGGATCCTTATTGAGAGGGTCAGTTTGGAGTGAGGTCTGCCGTGATCATTTTCTGTGCTACGCCTTTGGCAGTCTCTCGCGCCTCCCATATGTAGGTTTGGAAGCTGTCTGAAGCCCATCGTCCCCAGCGCTTCACTAGGGAGGTGTCTTGGTACTGTGCCCACAGGGCACTTGCCCCACCGAACCTCAGCGAGTGAGCGCCCAGGTCCCCTTCCGGGAGTCGCAGACCTTTGGCTGCCCTGACGGATTTCACAACACACACCTTTTCCGCAGTGCGAAAGTGGTTTCTGACCTGTCCCCGATTGTAGATGTCTGTCTTGGATCCTCGCGCCAGAAGGGTGACTTCGTCAACTTCGCTGATCCGGTTCAGCGCCACGGCATTGCCATTGAGCTTCAAGGTGACGTCGGACCCACGCAGGCCTCTTCTGGGATCTTGGTACCCGACATCAAGGTATTCCGAAGCCCGAAGTAGGAAGAAAAATCCCAAGGTGAGGGCGCCCCAAAGGAGGCTAGCTTCCTCGGCCCTTCCATACTCCGCGGCCCGCTGCATTACTAGCATTTTTTGCCGTGAAAAACAGATTTATTAAATATATCTGGTTTTGTGCGCATTTTCTGTTGAGTAGGTGAGTGCTTGAACCAAATCGCCGGATTTGGCGGCCGTAGAAAATGCCTGAAACTACCATACGCTCGGTCACGCCAGGAATACTTGGATGACCCACGCAAGAGAGCCTCCCCAAAATAGGAAATAGAAAGAAGTAGAAAGTGCACAACTACACAATCATGATGGCTCCGTGGAGATGTTGTGGGTTCCCGGAGGATCCTACAAAAGCTCCACAAGCTCTCTTAAAGCAAGCTAAACAGACCATGCCGGTACAGGGATGGGGGCCATGGGGCGTCAGCCCAATGGTCACCATCCCCGCACTCAGAGTAGAACGCCACGCATAGGAGGTAGGTAGAAAGAGTGAAGGACCAAGAAACCAAGGAAAAACTAGGGTAGTAACAGCGTCCAGGAGACCCTGTTTAACTCTCATACGCTCGAAACGCCATCAGTCCATCGTGGACCACGCCTTGCGACACCCCGGATGCTGGCAGAGACTATCTCCGCTTTGCAATGAGTCCACAAACGCGGCTTCTGACGCCTTCAACGCTCTGCCACAGGCAGTTTTCCAACGCCGGCCATCAAACTCCAGAGATTCTGGGCGGCAGTGATCGTCGCAAACCAACGCGCGATTGACCCGTCGATAGCGGGCCATCAGAATCTTGTCACACACCGTGACATCTCACCCCTTCTCCAAAGCACCTGACGGGGCCTCTTCCGAATCGGATGAGGAGACGCTCGAGGATGAGCTGTCTGCCTCCTCGTCGGGTGGAATGTCCTCCAGGTCCAACGCTTGAGAACCCTCGAAACCAACGCCACTGTACTGATGGTAGGTCTTTCCTGAAGAATTCCAGCGTCACTGCCGGTTCAACGAGGGGCTGCTGCGCTCCTCTGTGCTGAGGGATCTGCGGACGGAATCCTGACCGAACCTGATCAATCAGAATCCGCTGATAGTGCAACGACCCCCAAACACTGTCCCTACCACATGCATTCAACGAATCATTGGGCTCTTTGTGGTGGTCCTGAGCGAGGCGAAGTTCTCTGGACACGACTGAACGAAGTTGAGGGCCCCAACTCAGCAATGTAGCCTTGAGGCTGTGCACGGTAAAGGATAAATCCAAGCCTTTTAATGGGCTGGACTGTGACTTCCAAGGGCAATGGATGAAATGCCGAACAAAAAACAAAGCACCTGCGTATGACATAGGTGTCAATGGAATGAAGACCCGCTCAAAATCACAAGCTGGTAAAAGAAAGTCTGGGTCTTCATTTTCATCCGTCGCCAGAACTGAATCCAAAGTATGTAGAACCAAGCCATTTCAACATGTCTGGAGTCACGGGGTCGCAACCCGGCCAGGGCAAGCGGGATCCTTGGCGTGTGCATCGAGAGATCTGGGTATCCCAACGGAAAGTCGCAGTTTGATGGTGCCCGGTGCTTTGGCTTCATTGGAGGCACAGTGGACCAGGAAGTCGATGACCAGTTGTTCCTCTTGACGGCTATAGGCCGGAACATATCTGACTGGGTCTTCACCCCTTCGTTTGCAGAAGAGTGACCACCAGCCCCATTGCGACTAGTAGCTGGCGGCTGTGCTCTGCGAGTACCTCGAAAGTAACAGTGAGAATCCTTCTTGGTCGAATTCGTGCCGTCCTTGAACTTGAGCAAACCTAAAGCTCTTTCCCGCGGGGTCCCTTCTGGCAGCAGCCCTTGGTCCACCCAGGAAACGCACGTTGGGTTCTTGCACGACTCTTCTACCTTTCTTGGGGGGGCTGAATCTCACTTTCTTTCTGGTTCCGCCGACTTTGGTGGCCTCCAAATAGACCTTTGCCGATCCTCCTGGGTGGTTTGACCCCCATTTGGAAAGGAGTCTTCTGATGGCCAAAGCCATGGCTAGTATAAATGCCAGCAGTAGGCTGTCAAAAATCATTCCTGAAGCCTGATCGAGATCCCACTCAGCTTCAAGGGCGCAAAAATCATTCCTGAAGCCTGATCGAGATCCCACTCGGCTTCAAGGGCGTCTCCAGGACTCCTCTTCAGTCCTTGGTCAAAATTGCTGAGGTTCGGGGCGGAAAGACCTCCGGCCAAGGAGCTCCCCTCGGCAGTCTGGTGCGCGATGGCGTGATTGCGGTCACGCTCAGCGTCGTCTTTGGTATGCCCTTGTCCCTCGCGCTTCCGCTGCTTCTTGATCTTCTTACGGCTGGCGGTGTCTGGCGCCCGCTTGTTCCAATTGCCCTCTCGTCGAGCCTCATTCTGGAGGTCCGCTCTGAAGGTTCGAAGGTCTTTTTGGGCTGCATCATGAAGCGCTTTGTCCAACACCTTACCGGCTTCTGCAAGATCAACATCCAACAAGGGTCCTGTTCCTGGTCCCTTCTCTGCTCGACTCCAGGTGTCGACCTCCTGTCGGTGCTGAGCCGCTCTTTCTCGTGCCCATTGGGCTCTTCTGGCAACCCAGACGGATCTCCCCGCCTCAATCTCTTGCTTCAGTCGGTGATCAGAAACAAGCGGAACCCCAGTCCTTGGACCGACGGGGTTCGCGAGCTCAAGTCGTAACATCTGATCGTTGAGGCCTGCCCGGTAGTCGGTTTCTGCCTCAGTGTAGTGCTTGACCCTTTGGGCTCGCTCTTCGGCTTCGGCTTCAGCCTCCGTCTTACTCTTGAGTCTTGCCTCGGGCGAACTGGTTGAGACGCTCCACGAACTCCGACTTAACCTGAGAGGCTGCTGGGGCTTGCTGGACAGCTTCTTGGAGACATGCCCAGTTGGCGGCGTCGGCGTCGGCCACAGCTTTGAGAAGATGCAGGTGCACATCCCCGAACTTGACCTTTCGCCTTCGAGGCCTGGGTAAGTCTCCTTCGGTGATCATTTCTAGACCCTTAGGTGGAAGGTATTCGATTCCCTTGGCATCTCCAGGGGGCGGTGGCGCATTGGGCACACCCTCTGCTGCTGGTGCTCCTCCTGGGGTCTCTGTTGCACTGGGGACGTCGACACTCTCTTCAACCTTCGTGGGTATCACTTCTTCGCTCTTTGGAAGAGCTGCGGTCGTTTCGGCTTTGGGCTGAGCCCTTCGGTCAGCCCTTCAGTCTTCTCTTGTTTAGGTTCTACAAGTTCTGTATAGACGCTCCTGCTGGGATGGCCTGGGCGATTTCCACCTCAGAGTCAGTGCCCCCCCAATCAACTTCCATTTCTCCCTCTGCTTCCCCGGCGAAACGCGCCTCGGGTCGCGAGGTCCACAGCAAGGCCATCTTCGAAGTTCTCGGGTAAGTTGCTCCCGAGGCCTTTGGCGACGTCTAGGATCTCTTCGGTAATGGGTTTCTTCTCTTCTTCTGGCATGGGACCCCATCTGCCTGTCACTTTGGGCCTGATGGGCAGCGCAGCGCTTGACATCGGTGCTTTGGCAGAGCTCGCTGCCGAGCCATGCTCATCTTCTCGGTCCTCGAGGCTTCTGCCTTCAGGTAAGCCGTCCCACGGGGTGATCCTAATGATTGCGGCTGGCGGTACTGTCGAATCACAGAGCCACACCTTGTTGCCGGTCTTCCGGAACTTGCATCCAAGGTCAACGGCTTTCTTGACATCGATATCTATCCGTGTTTCGAGGTCGACCCGCCACCGCTCTGCGTGTTCCTCGGGGTCGTGGAAGTGGACATCTCGGTCGCCTCTCACCAACCCCTTCTTCTGAATGGACGCAGTGTGACGTCGGTAGCTGCCATGCGCCAGCAAGGCCGGGAGTTCCTCGGTTGGGACCACTGCGGCTGGGCCAACAACTCTCTCCTGCGTGTGGCCCGACCAGGCCGCGACCCACCAGACTCCATCAGTGTCTTGCTTCGCAACGAGTCGGTCCTTTTTGTCCTGGTCGAGTGCTTCCAGCAGCACCCAGTTTTGGAATCTTTTGCAGGACTGATGCGCGGCGAGTTGTTGCCATTTCACCCAACCTTCTTCGCTGATGGGGCACTCCTCGGTGCCCGCCGCATGCATCAGCACATAGCACATGGCTTTCATTGCCTGCTCATGGAGAGGGAGACCTTTGTTCTTGTTCTTCTGTTTTCCCCACACAAGGCCGGCTGATCCCTGCTTGGGATTGTCTTGGAGCCACTTCATCAGGACCCTTTCAGTCTCTTCCTCCCAGGCGAGTCGACAGACTCCCACTTTGTCGGGGAGATTTTCCCCCAGGAGTTGTTGAGCTGCCCAGTGCACTGCCGCATCAGCCAGCTTTCTGGGGGTCGCGTCAAGTAACATCTTGGGGTCTCCGCATGCGGTGCGTCTGTCTTCCTCCTGATATCGCGAGCTCCTGCCGTGCAACAACTTCGCCGCTTCAGCAGGTGTGATTGTTCGAGCAGCCGGGCCGTCGGGCCCCTTCCCAATCAGCAAAAGCCGATCATCCCTTTCTGGCTGTCACGATCCGTCACCTGATAGATCAAATGAGTCTAAATTTACTCCGCTAAGGATTTAGTCCGGGGACTAAAGAGTAAACGATCATTTAGACCGGATCCTGACTAAATTCTCCGAGAGTAAATGATCATTTAGTCCGGGCTACAACTGTGCAATTTGCACTCTCCAGAGTGCAAATTGCACAGTTGGTTTTTGGAGCTCAAACTTGAACAGTGCAAATTGCACAGTTCAGAGTGCAGTTTGCACAGTTTGGTTTTTGTGTTGTAGTTGTTTGTTGCTTTTTTGTTGTGTTGTTTTGTTGTGGGAGTTGTTGTGTTTGTGGTGTTTGGGTGTTTTCTTGGTTGCTTTTTTTGATTTGTTTGGTGATGTTTGTTGTGTTTTGTTGGCTTACTGGTTTTTCTGATCGTATGTGTTTTGTGCTTTTGTGTGTTTGTTTGATTGTTTTTGTTTGTTTATTTCCTTCTGTCTGCGCGCCTTTCTTTACTTTATTTTCTTATCTTTGCTTTTCTTTCTTTTTTCATTCCTTCCTTTTTCTGTCCTTTTGTCCTTTTCCTTTCCTTTCCCTTTGCTGTTCCTTTCCCTTTATGTTTTCCTTATCCTTTCCTTTTGCTTATCCTTATCCGTTAATTTGCACCCTTTCTTGGTGTTGTACCATTTTTTCCTTCCTTGCCCTTGCCTTTCTTCATTTTTCAATGTCTTTCCTCTTGTTCTTTCTTTGTCTTTCTGCCGTTTCTCCTTTCTTCCTTTTCCTTTTCGCGTCTTACGTCGTTCTTCTTCCTTCCTTGCTTTTGCTTGTGCTTCCTTTGTTTTTTTTCATTTCTTTTCCTTTCTGTCGCTGCTCCTTTCTTCCTTTGTTCCTTTCTTTTCCTTTCTGTCGCTGCTCCTTTCTTCCTTTGTTCCTTTCTCACTTCCTTCCACTTTCTTTTTGTGTCTATAATGTTCTCTTTTTATGGTTGCTTTACTATTTTGTTGGTGTCTGTCTTCTTTTCCTTTATTGTTTTCTTTGTTTATTTGGTTTCTGTGTTTTCCTTTGCTTCTTTTGTTTTTGCGGTGCAAAAGAACGACCACGCAGTGAAACAATCACACAAAACAACTTCATGTCGCAGCATCGTTCTTGCCTGAAACGTTCTTGCTTTATGTGTTCTTGCGCTATAGGCCCTACAACTGCGAGCTGTGAAACGCTTGCTTTTGATGGATCTTTTGGTCCCGACCTTTTTGTTTCACAGTTTCACAAAACGACTACAACATCAAGCAAAAAGTTCTGGCTGCTCTTGCTGCTTTCTATGTGCGCAGCTCTACTTGTTATGGCATCTCAGCTCTATTTGTGATGGCATCAGGTCTTGCGTGTTTTGTCTTGTTGACATAGAACGAAAGCATTCAAGGCATTGTGTAGCAGTTTGCATTGCAGTGTCCAGCATGCATGTCTTGCTGTTGAGGCTTTTGGTCTTGCATGTTTTTAGTTGATATAGGTTCTTGCAACTTGTGTGGAACTTGGAAAGCGTTTCAAGTTCAAGTCACAAGTGTATTGGTCTAGTCTGGTGCCCCGCACCAAGTATGTCCAGTCTAGATGTTGCCTTGGAGCAGCAAAGCAATGCTGCCAAAACAAAACTGAAAGAACGTGCCGGCAAATCACGATTGGTCGCAGACAGCAGCACTGGAGTCCGAGACATTCAGAACGTGCTGAGAAACTTCCTCACCTACAAAGAAACTAGTGACCTGCATGCTTTGATCTCCAGGAAAATTTGTGAAGCTCACCTGGAAGTCTCAACCAGACCCAGAGTACATGGTGAAAATGGCGAACCTTTGCTACGACTTGGCTGTCATTGCCCCAAACTCTAAACTTGCAGGGAAAAAAATCAGGGAAGCTTTGCAAAAGCTTCTTGACCTTGGTGAAGTCAGAAACACAACCGAGCGAGAGAACAAATCCTTCATTGACAACTCGGACCTCCTGATTCGAATCGCTATGGGGATGTTTCGATCTTTAAAGTATGACCTGCTTAAGAAAGATCAAGTTCTGAGGAGGATTGGTAGCCCGGATTCCAACAAGATCAAACTTGTGTTGGAGCGATTGATCCTTCCAACGGATTATGATGGAGGGGTCAGTGATGGTGAAGAAGATGCCACTGCTTGGGCGGCGGCAGACGGTGGTGGTTCTCGCAGTGATCTCGCCCTCCCTCTCCAGGATGCACAGGACTTTGACATCTCTGAATTTGAGAAGATCAGCAGCAATCAGCTTCAGCCTTTACCTCATGCTGCCCCAGCTACACCTACAAAAGGTCCAACTTCGTCCAATTCTGTTGGCTTCAGCCCCGATGCATCGAAAACAGAGCCTCAGGGCAGATTCACCGGAAGTTCGGCATCCTTTCGCATGAGCCGACTTGAGTTGGGACCCCCATCACCTGTGAAGCGCAAGTTGAACCTAGATGAGAAGTTGCTTTATGAAGCAGAGGGCCACATCCCAAAGAAGGCAGTGCCAAAGTCGAAGGCAGGGCCCATGAAGAGGCCAGCCATCAAGCGTCCACCATCCTCTCTCCCTCCAACCAACTCTCATGAGCCTAATGAAGTTCCTGGTGAAGGAGCAGTTGGTCATGCTGATGATGGCGATGAACGAGGTGATGAACCGCCCACTAAGCTGATGTTCCGGAAGAATGTCCACAGCAGGGCCTACAACAAGGAAAAAAATGCACAACTCAAGGGAGGCGCTGACCTCGAAACTGCGAAGGATGCTGCCCGTTCCGCTGGTGCTGCTGCTGTGCGAGAGGCTGAGGCACAAGGTCTTCTTGAGGATTGAGTGGTAGATTTGTATGCAAATGTGTAAGTGTAGAGGCAGCTTCATTGGTTTCAAGCTAGCACAAAAGCTTTCGCGGAAATATATTTCTTGCGCATCTTGCAAACGCCACACCCAGATTATGTTCCAGAAGTTCTTGCACAGGTTCTTGTACACCGAACACGCGAACATTCTTGCAAACATGTGTTTTTGATGTCTTGCTTTCTTGCTGTGAAGTGTACACCGAACATGCGAACATTCTTGCAAACATGTGTTTTTGATGTCTTGCTTTCTTGCTGTGAAGTGTTTGCAATGCTGCTAGATTTGAGCTGTGCGTTTGAGATGTTCTTGAGTTTACCATTTGGAATCAGCTTTGAAGATTCTTGCCTGGATGTATTGAAATACTGCAAGATTTGAATGCCCAAGCGCTGCAAATGCACAGTCCATGTGTACATTCACATTTTGCACATGTATACTTTGTTTTGGTTTTTGAGTTTAGTGTGCTTCCTCTACTAGTTGTTGTTCTTGCAATGGCTGCTGAGCCTCAGCGCTTGTATATTGGTGGATGGAAGATGGGTATCACCCGGCAAGATTCTAGTCAAGTACAGTGGAGATTTATTTTGAAACTGCGTTCTTTTGCACAGTCAATCTTGCGATGTTCTTGCTTAACATAGTTCTTGCTGAACATAATAGTTCCTCCACAGTCGATTTGTTTATGTACCCACTGAGGAGATCTATGACTATTTGGCGGCCAACGATTTGCCGATTCCGAATGATATCAAGATTGGTAGACGCTTGACGTTAAAAGAGGCTTCGTGATCTTGCCACCTGTGATGTTCTTGAGATGAACATATCACCATGTTCTTGCCACTTGTGTTGCTAGAGTTTGTTGCAGTTGACACGGTGATGCTTTGATATAACATCTGTGATTCAAGAGATTCAGCTTCTTTGCACTTGTGATGTTCTTGAGATATTTTTTGTAACTGAAATGCTGCATGTTCTTGACAGGCGCCACTCAAAGGGGATATCCTGTTCTTGCCGCCTGTAGCTCTTGCCACATGTTTTGTTCTTGCCACCTGGTGTTCTTGTCAGTTCTTGCGCTTGAGATGCGTCTTGCCGATCATGTTCTTGCCTCAGGTCAGGGGTCATCAGACCAGATGTATACCTTTTTCAACCTGAGCTCCGCTGCTGATTCAGTGGCGATCCAGCTTGCACTTCGCGGCAAGACCATTACAGGTCTTACGAAGAGGGCTTTGAAAGTCAACATTGCCGGTCCAGCACCTCCACGCTACGATCCTGCGACCAAACATGGAAGCCGACCAAAGCACCCTTCGGTGTCGATGCCGCAAGCTCATGGTTATCCATTTCCACCGGAGCCTCCACGACAGATGTTCGTATCCACTACAGTTGGCACGGAGCATCATCCAGTTGGCAAATATGTGGTACAACCTCCGGTACCGACGCCCACATCCTCCGTGACATCGAGACCAAAGCCGAGCATGGCACCGAGATTCATGGCCAAGCCATCAGCATCGGTTGTGCCAGAAGTTGCGCCAGTGGTTGCTCCTCCTGCTGTGAAAGCTGTTCCGAAGGTGGCTTCGGTGGCTTCGATGAATCGGTGGGGAGAGCTTGGCCCGCGACCTCCCACCGAGTGGCTCCGTCCGCGAGAGGCCATGCAGGGCGCTGTCTCCGGTGGTGAGACAGAGTATGCTGGTTCAGATGGCTCTCCGCATGAGCGTGGTGAGGAGGAGTCATCGCCAGATCATCCAAGCTGTGGATGTGCATCTTGATCTGTTTTTGATCTGTAGTTTAATCATGCACTTCTCTTGCGTTTTTGCTTATTGCAATATGTTCTTGATAATACTGTTGATGAACTGTTCTTGATGTGTTCTTGAGTTCTTGACAATATATGTGATTCATTGCACTTTTTCCAGACAGTTCTTGCGGGTTCTTGTGCTTTGTGTTCTTGTGAGTTCTTGTGTTTGTTCTTGCATTGTCAACCTAAGGATTGAAGCGAGCATTGATGGAGGTCTTTTTGATTTTCTTGAATGTAGTAATTCATATGTGGACCCTCTAGTCAGGGAATACCAATAACAGCCCGGATGACCGGCCGTGGACTGTTTTTGCTACATCAGAAAAGTTGATGTTGGCACGTTGTCCATGGAGAAGCATAAGTACGATATGATGAGATGAGCGCGTGAAAAGAGATGCATCCGATGTCAGCACTGCAGCACTGCACTGAAAACAAAACCAGAAGGAAGTCTTTAAACTGATGCATCAAATACAATACGGCCATATATAGCTCTCTTTCATTTTCTTGCATGGAAGCACCATGATCTGTCCTATAACACAATCTAGTGGGCATGTTTTTCTTGCGGTGAAGTTCAACCACAGTTGATGCCTTTCTTGATGTTCTTTCTTGCAAACATTCTTGCAAACATTGTGTGTTGCTTGCTTGATCAAAGTGTAACTGTTCTTGAGCACAGTGAGTCTTGCTTTTACAGAAGAATTTGTTTGTTCTTGAAGACCAACTGCTATGCGTTTGAATCTTTTGAATTCTTGCAGATCATGTTCGTCTGTGTTGGTCGACTGTGATAATGTGTTTGGATCTAGTTATTGAGTCATGTTCTTCTGTTTGGTTGTTGCTCTTGCTGATCAACTGCCACGTTCTTTTTGAATGTTCTTGCATGGCTTCATTGCCAAAATTGTGGCGCTGGCTCTGTAGCTGGATTGAGATCGTGCGTTGTTCTTGCTGTAGTTCTTGCTGTAGTTCTTTCGAGTAGGATCGTAGAACCATGCCAAAGCAAAGCTCTTTTGCTAAGAAGCTTGCCATGAAGTCAGTGGCAATGAAAAAGGTGAAGGCAAAACGCGGAACCAGTGCCGGCAGTTGCTCTTCGAAGCCCTCAAAGCCTATGAAGAGTATGAAGAAGCCATCCCCGAAGAGCATGGCTCAGTTCAAGAAGCAATTCAGCAAGGCTGGCAATAAAATGCTGCGTCCCAAGAAGGTCAAGAGCGCCAAGTCTTGGTTGGACCCACAGGCCAAAGCTGCGGCGCTGAAGCGGCCTTCGAGTTCCAAGCGCAGCTGGAATGCGCCACCATCCATGACACTCCCGCAGTTGATGCGCTCTGAGATCAATGTGGTGCCTGGGAACCGCTTTGCCCATGAAGATATGTCAGAGGAGGACATCAACATCCTGAAGTTGTGGAGCATACTTGCTGTGCGCCGCGAGATTTGTGAGCTCTACTTGGAGGGTCCTTGGGCTGCCTTTGGTCTTGCTGGCTTTCATGATTTCAAGGTGAGGTTGCTTCGCAATCGGCTTCGGGAGGGTGAGTATACTGATTTGCTGGCAAGGTACAATGCTGTCAGCATGGGTCGCCCAGACCCAGCGCGTTCTTGAGTTTCAGCAAGGCGTCAAAGTTATTGAATTGTTGCCTTTAGACATCATTGATCTAGTGGTTCAGGACTAATTTATGCTCATAAAGCATTCCTTGATTGTAGTGTCTTCAACCAGTCTACAGTAAGTGTTGTGTTGGTAACTTTTGTTCATTACAGTTGACCAGTGTCACTACAAAGGAGCCCTTGCAGAGCTGTGAATGGAAGCTGTGAATTTTTTTCGGCTTATCATCGCGCGCCCAGAAACAAGCTTGAAGTTCTTGACTGTTCATGGTTCTTGTGTCACCTGATCATGTACAGTGCGTTCTTGCAATAGTGTAATCCCAAAATGTTCTCATACATGTGGCCTCAGTGTGAGCAATGTTCATAATTAGAAACACATTTTTTGATTCAAAAATATTGATTTTTTTGTTGAACACATGAAAAACGCAAGATTTTTTAGGAAAACTCACAAATTTACTGTGCAAAGATAGTAGTAGCGGGCACCTGTTACTACTAGCGTCCTTGTTACTACTAGTAAGGCACCTGTTACTAGTAGTAAGGCACCTCTTGCTACTAGCGCGGCACCTGTTACTACTAGCGTGGCACCTGTTACTACTAGCGTGGCACCTGTTACTACTAGCGTCCTTGTTACTACTAGTGAGGCGCCTGTTACTAGTAGTAAGGCACCTGTTACTACTAGTAAGGCACCTGTTACTACTAGCGTGGCACCTGTTACTACTAGCGTGGCACCTGTTACTACTAGCGTCCTTGTTACTACTAGCAATTACTACTAGCGTGGCACCTGTTATTACTAGCGTGGCACCTGTTACTACTAGCGTGGCGCCTGTTACTACTAGCGTCCTTGTTACTACTAGTAAGGCGCCTGTTGCTAGTAGTAAGGCGCCTGTTACTACTAGCATGGCACCTGTTACTACTAGCGTCCTTGTTACTACTAGTAAGACACCTGTTACTACTAGCGTGGCACCTGTTACTACTAGCGTGGCACCTGTTACTACCAGCGTCCTTGTTACTACTGGTAAGGCACCTGTTACTAGTAGCGTGGCGCCTGTTACTACTAGCGTGGCACCTGTTACTACTAGCGTGTCACCTGTTACTACTAGCGTGGCACCTGTTACTACTAGCGTCCTTGTTACTACTAGCGTGGCACCTGTTACTAGTAGTAAGGCACCTGTTACTACTAGCGTGGCACCTGTTACTACTAGCGTCCTTGTTACTACTAGAAAGCACCTGTTACTAGTAGTAAGGCACCTGTTACTAGTAGTAAGGCACCTGTTACTACTAGCGTGGCACCTGTTACTACTAGCGTCCTTGTTGCTACTAGTAAGGCACCTGTCACTGGCAGTATGGCACCTGTTTCTACTAGCGTGGCGCCTGTTACTACTAGCGTCCTTTTTACTACTAAGGCACCTGTTACTAGTAGTAAGGCACCTGTTACTACTAGCGTGG